AAAAAAAAAAAACTGTTCTAATTATTAAGGCCCCTATATTATGCATCGAAGGGGCGCGCCGCCAGGAGCACTTTGGCACCTCGCTGCGCCAAGCCGAGTGCCTTAGCTCGTGCTCGGGCAATGATAATTAGTTTAAGGTTTAGGGTTTAGGGTTTAGTTTGGGATTTAGAGTGTAATTAGGGTTTAGGGTTTAGTTTAGGGTTTAGGGTTTAGGGCTTAAAGTTTAGGTAAGATTAGGTCTTCTGTTTTGCTAGCGGCTCTTTTCGTCTGCGCGAAGTCTCTGCGACGGCATCTGACTTCTCAATCAGAGCTGGATTTAGGGTTTAGAGTTTAAGGCTAACGGTTGAAGGTTTAAGGAGTTCAGGGTTTAGTCTTCCGAAGGGGGCTCAAACAGTAACAGCGTTATGCTTACCTATGACCAAACCCTACAAAATAGTAGGTTATGACCTCTTTTTTAGAGGGTAGAACCCATAAGACGGTAGGTTTTTGGATCCCCAGGTAGAGCCCTAAGCCCTAAACGCTAACCCGGGTGGTTTTGGGTGCCTTTAAACGGATTAACGGCGCAGGGCTCTGGGAACGTAGGTCTGCATGGGGTTTTGAGGCAGCTGAGCCTTGTTTACATGGCTGAAGGGTTTAGGGTTTAGGGTTTAGGGACATGGCTGAAGGGTTTTAAGATTTACCTGTATCCCCAAACCCTACAAAATAGTAGGTTATGAACCCTTAGTTAGTGGGTCTAACCCTTAAAACGGTAGGTTTTTGGATCCACAGGTAGGGCCTAAATCTAAAAACCCTAAACCATGTCAACAAAAAACCTTTTATTCAGGGTGCAGCAGGTGTATATGGTTTCCGAAAAAGGGGACCCCAATATAGTACCCTAAATAGTAGGATCCTTAGTATAAGGACCCCTAAATAAGGTACCCCTTATTTTCGGAAACTCCCATATGGTTAAGACAAGGACGTGTCAGTTTGAGTGGGTCTGGAGTCCAGATCTCTTCGTGTTCTTCAGGTTCAGGAGGTCCGTGAATGAAAGGTTGACGGTTCAGGATTTAGGATTTTTTTTTCTAAGTGTAGTGGCTTCATTGAAGCCGACATCAAACTCTACAGCCTCAGATTTAGGGTTTAGGGTTTAGGGTTGGTGTTTCGGGATTCTCGGTTTAGAGGAACACTGAGCTTTAGCGCACGAAGGCTTGCCGCACAGCTTGAAGAGCTGGCATGCCTGTCTTGGCTTTAGCGGCATTCAAGCCAAGGTGCTGGGTTTAGGGTTTAGGGGTTTAGGCTTTGGAGTTCAACCCGAGGTGACGTTTTTCAATTGCTCGAAGCACCGCGAACCAGAACCTGACCTGTGACCCCAAACCCTACAAAATAGTAGGTCATGACCCCTTAATTAGAGGGTAGAACCCATAAAACGGTAGGTTTTTGGATTCCCAGGTAGAGTTTAGAGTTTGGGGTTTGGGGTTTAGGGACTGGGGTTCCCAACGTTCATGTCAGCTCCGACACACTCGGCTTCCATGCCAAGCTACTTTTGCCCACTGAACCCTCAAACGAGCAATCCTCTAGAATCCCTTCTGCTTTACCTTAAGGGCATGAGGATAATGAGGTTCCAACTTTCTGGCTTCTACTTTACTCTCTCATTGATACTCGTTGGGGGTCCGTTTTAAAGGATCCCAACTACGATGAACACGCAACAAAGCTTGACCCCCTAACCCCATCGCCCCCTCGCGCTGTCAGGTCCAGAACACTGTCTCGAAGCCGATGCCGCCGCGCGATGGCCCTGTCACCACCTCGTGGAAAAATACTGTTACTATGCTATGCTAAGATGTGCTGCACTATACTGTACTGTAGTTACTACTGCTATACCATACTAGACCAGACTAGACTAGACTATACTATGCCTATAGGTCCCAAATGAGGTTCCAAAGAGCCGAGGGCATGATGTCGACCTACGAGGCATATCCTCCTGCCTCAATATGGATAGTGCCGCGGGGTTTGTTTGAGTAGTGTGTAGGGTTTAGGATTTAAGTATGAATGGAACTTACGACTACTACACATGGGTTTCTGTAAATTTGGGTCTACATGTCTCACCTTGCTTAACGTGCTATTAACCTCTGAATTCTGTACTCAGGTCTGAGAATCTGCTATGGGTTTTGGGCAGTGGGTTCCACGCTTGCCGTGACAAGTTCTGGGATCAGTGTTTCAAGGAATCGGGCGGTTTGACTTGGGGTGCACCTCGGTGTGATCCATACGGAAGCCGAGTGAATGGCTCATGGATATCCGATTTCCGCTGCAACCCCCAACTTGGGGCATGATCATGGATATCGCAAGATTGCAGAGGTTAGGGCGGCGAAAAGTTGGTAGTGCGGGTTCACATGTTAGCGCACGGCTCTAAAGAAAATGCCACGATCAAGCCATGTACCTCGAAAGCAGTTCCCGAAACCATTGTAGCAGGCGAACTGAGTTCAATGGATGCTGGACGCTTGAAACCCACTCCTATAAACCCTTACAAACGCCTGCAAAAGCTTACATAAGCCCCTTCCTACACTCTAAAACCCTAAACCCAAAACCCAAAACCCTACACCGCCCAAAATTCACAAAACCCGACACCCGAAGCAGAAAACCCAAGACCGAACTCTAAACTCTAAACCCGCAACCCCTTATACTCCCCTAAACCCTAAACCCGAAACCCTTTATACTCCCCTTAACCCTAAACCCTAAACCCGAAACCCTTTCTACCCCCCTAGACCCTTAAACCCGAAACCCTTTATACCCTGAATACTGTAAGCCTCAAAAGCCCCAGCCCTCCGGCAGCCGAGCAGCTGCCACTTGCCCAGACAAGTCCTCAGGCTTTAGGGCTTAGGCTTTGGGGTTTAGGGGTTTAGGGTTTAGGGGTTTCGGGTTTAGGGTTTAGGGTTTAGGCCCTAAACCCTAAACCCTAACTAAACCGTATCTTAATGTTTACGGCTCTGAAGTTTTTGTGTTTAGAGCTTCAAATAGGTTCAGGGTTTAAGGTTACATTAGGGTTTAGGGTTTGAGGGTACAGGGTTCAGGGTTTAGGGTTACATATGGTTGTATATGCACCACCAGTTTGCACCTAGGCCCCACAAGACACTTCGACCTAGTTCCGTCGTGGTAGTCGTACTACGTATGGACTCTCTGTGGGGTTGCTCTCCCAATGCTGAACGAATTGGGAGGCTCATCTTGCAGAATGGGTCTTGGCGCGAAAATTTTCCCTAAGCCCTAAACCCAAAGCCCTAAACTAAACCCAAGCCCTAAACCTAAAGCCTAAATCCGAAACCCTCAGCCCCAAACCCTAAACCCAAAGCCCTAAACCCTAAGCCCTAAGCCCTAAGCCCTCAGCCCTAAACCCTAAACCCCCAGCCCTACACCCTAAGCCCGAAACCCTATAAGCCCTAAACCCAATGTTTCGGGTTTCGGAACTTGTGAGTTTCGGATTTCGGATCTGTGTGGATCCTAGGAAGTCATACTTCGATATTGTAAACCCCTAGGGTTCCTTTAAGGACTCGTTTAAGGGCTCCCTTAAGGGATCCCGTATAGCAGATCCCAAAAGTTGGAAACCGGATTGACTACAAATAGTGCCGGGAGTCCCTATACACTACTCTTAATGTTTGAGGCTACGGGGTTTCAAAATTTTAAAGGGCTCCTAACCCTAATTAAACCCTAAACACCAAACCCCTAAATCCTAAACCCTGAACCCTTTCACTAAAAGATCCCCCAAACCTTTTGGGCTTCCACTATATCTAAAGTTGAAACCATGGGCCCCCAGTATGCGCCCTTATCCCTGGGATCCTTATACACCTACCCTTAAGGGTCCCTAGAAAGGCCTAAGGGTCCAGATTCGGGGCCCATACTTCTAACCTTCTTTCAGTCGTCATGTATCAGACACTACACACCAGTAACCTATGGTAGTTTACGGTTAGAGCAGTTTAGACGCCAGGGACTGTTCTTGGTGGAGAGCTGGGGGTTGAGGGTTTAGGTTTAGGGTTTAAGGTGAAGTCTGCTGACATCTGAATTGGATACTTCAGGCAACGAGATTGTGAGTCGCAGGCGTCTCCCGAAACAAAACTTGGCACAGACAAGGCCTTGGCCGCAATACTGAGAATAGTATGTAGTGGTGTCACTATCTGTACTGCCATGACGGCAAACAAGACCTAAACAAAACCCTAAACCCTAAACCCTAAACCCTAAGCAAACACAAAGAACTTAAAAGTAACCAGGAGCTGCAGGTGTGAATTATAGTGATGTGGTAGTTCTCTAAATTAGGGTCCCTGTTTAGGTCCCCCGAATAGTACGGCAGCCTTATTCAAGTATCCTAAAAGGAGCCCTACTTAACATTCGGGATCAATACAAGGCAACACCCTGACATCATCCCGGTGGTCTAAACACTTCGCAGCCTGGGAACTTAATCTACAAGTTGCCATTAAATCTAGTATAATCCATAATAAATAACGATAAGATCGTAATCTAAGTTGCCATTAAAATCTAGTATAATCCATATCAAATAACCATAAGATCGTAATCTAAGTTGCCATTAAATCTAGTATAATCCATATTAAGTAACGATAAGATCTTTTCCATATTCAGGCAGCTTCAACGAAATCCCTGAATTAGGGCTGTGGGGCTTCAGGGCTTTAAGCCTTATTGTTGAGGCTTGAGCACTTGAAGGTCCCTAAACCCTAAACCCTAAAACCTAAACCTGTCTTTGGATTTACGATTTAGGATTTGGGGATTCGGGCTTTAAGATTTGGGGATGGTAAAGGGTCTGGGGCTTGGGGTAGTTAGGGTCTGGCGTTTAGGGTCTAGGGTTTAGGGCTTTTGGGGTAGTTAGGGTTTGGGGTTTAGGGCTTTTGGGGTCGTGGCGCATGGTTTGGAGACAAGGTTGGTGGCTTGCGGTTATGGTGGGCTATGAACATGTTTTACAGCTTATCGGGCTCACCCTGAACGGCCAAAACCTACATTTGCAGGGTCCCTACACACTCTTTTTATTAGGGATCCTTTGATCAAGAGCCTAGAAACATGCAGGGTTTCTGGTTTTGGGGTTTGGGGCTTAAGTGGTGCTCACCGATCTGCTACACATGGCTGGACCGGGAATTGCTGATCCGGCACGTGCTTGTGTCACACGTTCGTCCGACACGTGTATAGGACTTAGAACTGTGTTTTTAGTTTTGGGTTTAAGGTTTAGGGTTGAATCAAAGTTCTCAGCGCAGAGTACATGACCTCGAAACGCCAAGACTCACTGCACATCGGCTGTCGGATTTCCTGCTAGTTTAGGGCTTTAGGCTGCAAACCCAAACCCGAAACCCTATGATACGGCTCGGGGGGGGGTTCGTTCGGCTTAGACTTTCCAACACAACCCTACACCTAAACCCTGAACTAGCAATAATCGGTTTAGGTTTTAGGATTTAGGATTTAGGGTTTAGGGTCTAGGGTTTAGGGTGGTTTAGGGTAATTATGTGCAGCCAACTTGCGATTCCGACAGGGGCGGTGAAGTTGCCCTGAAAGACCATGTCACCTGAGCAGTGCTTGGGATAGGGCTCCGGGCTTACAGTCAGAAACCCAAAGCCTCCGTCCTAAACCCTAAACCCCTAAGCCTAAACCCAAAACCCTCCTAAACCCTAAACCCTAAACCCTAAACCCCTAAGCCTAAACAATAAACCCCTAAACCCTAAACCCCTAAGCCTAAACCCAAAACCCTCCTAAACCCTAAACCCCTAAGCCTAAACCCTAAACCCCTGAACCCTAAACCCCTAAGCCTAAACCCAAAACCCTCCTAAACCCTAAACCCTAAACCCTAAACCCCTAAGCCTAAACCCTAAACCCCTAAACCCTAAACCCCTAAGCCTAAACCCGAATTCGCCGTAGACCGTTAAACCGGGATATTCCAAGAATGCCTGCCCACAGATAAGGATTGCCCACGGCCTCAAAATCCCTTAAACCCTACCTTAAACTACCAAAACCTACTTTTTTGTAGAGCCCCTATAAAGTCTACATTAGGGTTTATGATACGGACCTACAAAAAAAGTAGGTTATGGTAGTTCAAGGTAACCCCTAACCCTAAACCCTACACCCTAAACCCTAAACCCTAAACCCTAAACCCTAAACCCCTAAACCAAAGGAGTGCTCTTTGATTTAAGTAGAAGCGTCTGGGGATGGGGGGCCGAGGGCTCTCGCGACTAGAGGGTTTTGGGTTTAGGGCTTTAGAGGTTTAGGGTTTTAGACGTTGAGGACTTTAGAGTTTAGAGGTTTAGGGTTTTGGAGGTTTAGGGTTTTAGAGGTTTAGGGTTTTAGAGGTTTAGGGTTCAGGGTTTTAGAGGTTTAGGGCTTGGGATGGAAAGACCCTAAACCCTAAGGCTCTAAACCCTACTTGGAGGGTTAGGGCACTTGGTAAGTAGATATCAAGTAGAGATATAAGTACCCGAAAAGGGATCCTAATTGGGGTTATGATACTTGTAAGTCTATGATAATAACTAGTTACTAAGTCCCCCGACGCTCCAAGAACACCCCTAAATGCTATCATACTTATAAGTCTAAAGTCTAAAATAATAACTAGTCACTAAGCCCCCCCCCCCCCCTCCAAGTAAACCCCTAACTGCAAAGCCTAAACCCTCAACCCTCAACCCTAAACCCTAAACCGGATGTAATCAGCGGTATCATTGTCAATCCTTGGGGCGGGACTGAATTCATTGGCAGCATTATTCTTGTAGGGCTCCGAAGTGGTACTACAATATGCCCCAAACCTACAACAAGTGCGTTCTTGAGGTCGCACCGCCGGACCTTGGCATAGTGTCCGTGCTGGTTCGCCACCCAAATGAACTGCTCGAACTCATGGTGGCAGCGGGCCTGCTTCTCCGAGGGAACCGGGGCCGCTGAAGACGGACTCGTCCTTGTTCCATTCCAGGCTCGTTGCCACAAGGCTCGCCGAAACTCATCCAACTCCCGCTTGCGAACTCCTTCCACTTTGTCCCGGCCCTGGCTGTCCTTTCGGCTCGGTGGCTGCACAGGTCGCGGAGGCACAGGCAAACTCGAGTGGACCGCAGAGGCCGAGGGCACCCACGGAGCACCGGATGGCATGGCCGGCCAGGCGGTTTCAGAAGGATAGCCACGGGGAAGAGGACGTTGATCCGCCTCCTCACTCTCTCTCTCTCTCTCTCTTTCCCTCTCTCTCTCTCTCTCTCTCTCTCGCTCTCTCTCTCTCTCTCTTTTTCTCTCTCTCTCTCTCTCCATACATATTATACACCATGATATACCCCCGCAGCCCTGCTCTCGTTATGCAGCGGCCTAGGTCAGACACTACTCGAGTCCAGATGGGTGAGTGCTCTAGGCAGTACTTCTGAGTTACCCATCGACCACAGTTTGGGGCTTAGGGTTCTTGGTGCAGTGCAGCACCCTAAACAGTACAGTATAACCTCCGTGAAAAGCAAGATGCACTCTGACAGCGAGAACATAAACCCCTAGACCCTAAACTGCCCTGACTGAGTAGTGAGACCCAGGGTTCGCGGGTTTTAGGACCATCAACCCTCAACCCTAATGTAGGGGCCTTCATAATTAGAATAGGGTTTTGCGGGTTCCTTATTTCATTATAGTATAGTATACCCCAAAACCCTATTCCATTTATTAAGGTTTCTATATTAAGCCCCTCAAACGGGTTTAGGGTTCTCTGAACTCAAACTCCAGTTAGCTGTCTCAAGCCGACCCTGAACCCCGGTATCCCCAAACCCCCAAAGCCCTCTAGCCACGAACCCCCTAATCCGTAAACCCAAAACCCCTAAACCCTACTAAACCCTACTAAACCCTAAACCCTAACCCCTAATCCCAAGCCCCGAAACACTCTGCAACCCTACAATAACGCCGTGCACAAAACAGCACAAACACTGGCAGAACCCCAAAATAGCCATTTATACTGACCCTACTCCGAATTTCTGGGATCCTATTAAACGACCCTAGAGCCTATTTCCCTTAAAGGGTTTAAGGCTTAGGGTACTTAGGGTTTAGGGTTTAGTGGTTTAGGGTTTAGGGTTGAGGATACCCTATCCCTTGCTGGAGTTCGTCGAAAAAAGATGTTCCCTAACAGACGCCCCAGGCGCCCATCACGCGCAGCATGGCTGGGACGCAGAAGGCTGCCTTTAGGAACCTTGGCAGTCGCGAAGAGTCTTGTGGGAGGTGCCTCTACGGATTTAGGGTTCCTTGAAGCCCTAAACCCTAAACCCTAAACCCTAAACCGTGGAAGGGTTTTAGGATTTAGGGCTCTTTCCTGAAGGCTCCTTCACGGCTTGCTAAACCCAAAACCCTGAACCTTAAGCCCTAAACCCTAAACTCCTTGACCTGTTAGAGTTTTAGGTTTTAGGGTTCCTTTCAAGGAATCCTTAACCCTAACCCCAAACCCCTAATTCAACCTAAACCCCAAACCTTCAAAGGAACCTAAAGGCTTAGACGAAGCCAAAACCCTAAAACCTACAACCCGAAATTCTGTCTCTTAAGGGTTACTAAAAATTTATCCTGTGATTGTTTGGGGTTCAAGGGTTTTGGGTTCAAGGGTTTTGGGTTGATGGTTCTACAAGTTCCGTTAAGGGTTCCTTTGCCAGGGCTGGGTTCCTTTACTTTAGGGTTTAGGGTTTAGGGTTTAGGGTTTAGGGTTTAGGGTTTAGGGTTTAGGGTTTAGGGTTTAGGGTTTAGGGTTTAGGTTTACGGGCTTTCTGTGATTTAAGCTTCTAGAAGGGCATAGGGTTGTGAGACAAGCACGGTTTAGGGTTTAGGGTATAGGGCTTCTATGCAGTTCCTTATGGTTTGGGAGCCTTGGAATCTTAGATGTTCTTAGTGTGGGTTCCCAGCCACAAGGACAAGAGCTCGTAACCAGAAGCTACTCAACGAGGTGCTACAACAATCCGAGCTGTAGGCAAGTGCGCACATAGTACCCTAAACCCTGAACCCAAACCCCAAAACCCAAAACCCAAAACCCCCTAGGCTTTCAAGGACCAAAACCCTTCAGAGTGTAGTATTGGCGGCCTAGAACCCTACTACCAGCGTAAGCGTTGTGAGGTTTTTGCAGGCTTTACGCCTGCAAGGCGTTGGGTTTAGGGTTTAGGGTTTAGGGTTTAGGGTTTAGGGTTTAGGGTTTAGGGAGTTTTGAAGGTTTTGGGGTCGTCGGGCCTTTATTGCGAAAAAAAACGTTGTGTTGCTTCGGGTTTAGGGTTTAGGTATCTTCTCTTAGGGTTTATAGGGCCCGTCCTCCATTTAGGGGCTGCGCCACTTTGGTCATAAGGCCGTGCACTCAAAGCTGTTAAATCAGTCGTTCAGGTGGCGCGTGCTCCCTTTTAAAAGCTTGGAGGTTGTGTTTAAGGGCTTAGGGTTTAGGGTTTAGGGATGCTGCCTCCTCAACAACACCGAGGAAGACGACTTTACACCCTGCTGCAGAGGCATTACTTCAATATTTGGCACACGTCGACTGCTATCTACTAAGCCAATATAAAATACAAGTGTATGTCTGTGTGTGTTTACTTACACCGCAGCGCTTCCAACAAACGTTGCCATTAGGACATAAACGGGTGCCAAGTGCCGAATCAGTCAGCAACTTTCTGGAACCAGATGATTTTGTCGAAACTACCAAGGGCTCGTGTGGCGAGAGAACATGATACAAATGAAAGCGGCCATACGGGCCTTAACACGAAGTACTGCAAGCTCTGAAACCTGATCACCTGGTGCGGGAAATGGCACATGCAGGTTGGGATTTGTCGCGGGATAGGCTCATGCGGCATGTCACTCTCTCGTGTCCACAGAACTAATGACAACACTGATAGGAACGAGCTAACTTGCCATCACAAACACCATTCAGACACAGACAGACAGACAGACAG